CAAGAACGATAGTAGCTGGAGAATTAAATTTCATCCTAGGCATGTCTGATTCCTTTCCAAAACCATTAGCCATGAATCTTATTCTTCAGTACCATCACATCAGTCAATTTATGAGTGGATAGGGTAAATTCTGTATATTTATTTTTATATTTGAGCTAGTCTGAATTTACATCTGAAAATAATAGTGTTTTTTAAGTTTAATTTGAAATATATAAATATTAATATCAAAATATTGAATGAGCTTTGTGCCAAAAAAATAGAGTCATGGTCCAAGTAGACTATTTTTTTAATAAGGGAATATTATACTTTATTAATGTTATAATCTGGTGAAAATAATCGCAAGTAGAAGATAAAATAAAAAAAAATCATATATAAATTTTATGAAAAAATAGACGGAAAAAGGATCAAGGGTATAAAAGAAAATAATTATTATAGTAAAAATTTATATAAAAATCGTAAAAGTAATCACAATAACCCTAAAAACTCTAGGTACGTACATAAATATGTGTACACACATAAAATATGTTACTTGATTTGTACCGAGGAGGAGCTCCGCCATTGGACTTGTCGAGATCGATTTTTGGTTGACTTGGAATTGGGTTTCGATTTAAAAAAATGTTAGAGTCACACCGATTATTTTAAAAACATTTAGGTAGATCGGACACCATCTTACCTGATATGCATTTTACCAGAAATATGTCGGATTCGGGAGTCGGTTACAGTCAAGGAATGATTAGCACCCTTATACTGCCCTTTCGGTACCAATTAATTTGTTGGTAGTCTTAATTGCGAAAATTAAAATTTAAAAATTCAATTTGAGTAATTACCTTTGATCGATTGAAAGTATCCCTAAAAAGTAAAAAATGTTAGATAAGAAATAATAAATAAATAAATAAATAATAAATAAATGAAAGGAAAAAGGAAAAAATAATAAGAAAATAGAAAATAAGAAAATTAAAAAATTAAATAAATCAAAAAGAGAAAAAATAATGAAATAAAATAAAAATGATAAAAATGTTAGATTTTAAAAGTAATAAAATAAAAATAAGAAGCAGAAAAGAAAAATAAATAATAAAATAAAAAACATACTAAAATTAAAAAGAAAATGAATAACTAAAAATTTAAAGGACCGAATTGAAATTAATTTAAATTGAGGGATTAAATTGGTACTAAAAAATGAGCTGCAAGAGAAAAATAAAGAGTTAGGGGGTCAATTTGCAAAATATAAAAATTGTAAACATGGATTAAATTGAATAAATAAAATTCAGAGACAAAATTGAAACAGATGACCAAAATGAATTATGTTTCAAAAGTTGGAGGATGGCGGAAAGGATTTAACTATCCTTTAATTACAATATAGTCCCTGATATATGAATACCTATAAATCCCACATTTCCCTTCATTCTCTCATTTCCTAAAAAAACTGCTCCCCCAACCGAGAGAAGCTCTCAACCCTTCCAATCGGCCCCGATGGCCGGTCACCTCTTGGTGGCCTCCCTGCAACGTCGACCACCGCCTCCAACGGTCGAAAAAAATCAAACTCCCTCAGAACGTCCTCATCTACACCCTAAACACGAATCTAAAACCGATTTCCCTAAAAGAACACCAAACGACATAGATCTAAAGAAAACTGTTCAGTTTTCTGACCTTGTCCGATGACCCTTCGATTTTGACGGTGCTTGGCTCCCCTCGGTGTCGACGAACAGAATAACTCTTTGTTTTTATTTACGCCTTTTGCGAAAGATTTGTTTTTTGCTTGATAATTTCTTGATTCTCCTTTTGTGTGTATCACTTGGTGGTTTGTTTTGTCGATTTGCGTTGGTCGTTTTTTCTGCTCGGTTTTTGTTGTTTGATCAATGTGTTTGGTTGCCTTATGTTCTGTTGTGTTTCGTTTTTGTTCTTGGTTTTTTTGATCTGTGGTTATGTGGTTCTCTTGTTGTTGATTTTGCCATTGTTTGGTGGGGGTATTTATACCCCTTCACGGTGGTCGTTTCTGATTATCATGGTTACATGCTCGTTGTTGGATTTCGGGATGGGTCAGTCCCGATTTCCTTGGCAAGAAATCTCGACGCCGTTGAGACGTGACTGGCTCTCGATCTCCCTGTACGGTGCCCTATTGGCTAAAGCAATGAAAACCCTAATTCGAGATTAAGCTGGGTCAGCCCAAACCCGGTTGTGCAGCCCACACCCTTGCTTGACATGGACCGAATTAAAACAAAAAATAATTAATGAAAAAATATAATAAATAAAAATAAAACTAATAATAATAACAATAATAATAATAATAATAATAATATTTTATATATATATAATATTTCAAAAAACCATATAATATATATATTTTCAAAAACATTTTAAAACTATATATTATATATATATTTTTTAAAAATGTTTTCAAAACTATATATTATATAGTTTTGAAAAATGTTTTAAAACTATATATTATATAAGTTTTTAAAATGATTTCAAAACTATATATTATATAAGTTTTTAAAATGATTTCAAAACTATATATTATATAAGTTTTTAAAATGTTTTCAAAACTATATATTATATAAGTTTTTAAAATATTTTTAAAAACTATATATTATATATATTTTCAAAATGTTTTCAAAAAACTATATATTATATATATTTTCAAAATGTTTTCAAAAACTATATATTATATATATTTTTTCAAAAATCATTTACAAACTATATAATATATATATTTTCAAAAATCATTTTCAAAGCTATATAATATATATTTTTAAAACCCGATTTTTAAACAGTATATTATATGTTTTCAAAAACCGTTTTCTAAAAAATTATATATTATATTTTTCAAAAAAATTCAAAAATTATATTATATTATATATATATATATATAATAGAACAAAATAAAAAATCCGGACGAAAATGAGTGTCTACAACCTTCACAACTCATTTTTTCTCCCAAAATATATTATCAGTAATCAAATTGTATCATAAAAATTTTAAACTGGGTTAATAAAAATTCGAACCACACTCGTTGATAATTCAGAATAAAAAACAAACATGCGCTAAATGTGTTGTATATTTAAATATTTACGACACATTATATTTGTATCTTATATTAATATGACTATATGAGTGCATGTTCGTAATTAACTGGTATAATTATAAAAGACACGACACACCTCCATAAAATAAAGAGATTCTCTTAACAACCGTTGATTGTGCAAACATGAAAACTAGTTGGACAAAATAGACGGGAAAATGACGTTAATCATCTACGCTTGTGGAAAACCATCTCTCTTAAGATTACTCCCACTTGAAACTTTCTTTGTTCGTGAACGAATCAAAATACTTGTTCCGGGGCGCTCTCAAATTAATTAAGTCATTCTAAAATTTAATTAATTTGCAATATTTGTATGGGATCTCTTTACTAAAAAATTAACGGTTGAATGAAATAGTTTAAGGTAAGCGAAATTTAAAAGAAATATATATACATATATATACACAATAGGATGAGGGGGTTAATGTGAAAATTATGAGACAAAACCGCTTTCGGTATTGATTCAAATGCAATGGAGCTGTTTGTTTGGAAAGATGCAATGCTATTTTTGGCAGTTTACCACCTTTTTTTTACTTCCTTACAAAACTATGTAGGGGGCCCAATCATGCATGCCTTAAAATTGTAAAACAAATAAAGTAAAAGATATATAAATACTTTGTCGTTTCTACCACTAGACATTATGTAAAAGAATAGTGTACGAACTAAAGGGCTTCTTTTCCTTGACTGCTGCATTGGATGGAAATTTCGTATCAATAATTGAAGAGAGAATTCCTTGAAGTTTGACTGTTTATGGGGAGAAAAACCCACTTTTTTGATAATGAATATTCCTTAACCGAACTATGATTTACTATTATAATAATAATGTATTAGATAAACATGTGTATTATAATTGGAGGTACTCGTTAACAAATTTTATTTTGCACCCTATCAACAATGTCGCGTTGGGGGGATGAACTGACACAAGGAATCACCGAAGTCGTTTTAAAATGATGGAAGGTAGACTACATGTGACAACACCTTATGACATCACCGCGTACTTCATCTAAAGTTTTGTGTATTTTCGTAGGAATTCCGACTCATTATCATAAAAAAATGACATCTTTGAGTTTGAATACCATGAAAACTATGAGTTTATGACGATATTTTGCTGTATAAACGTTTCGTTAAATTGATCTTAGACCATCTTCAGATTGTACCATCTATCTAGGTTTCTTAATCTTCTCTTCACTATTTTAACAAGATTATTCGGTTGACAACTCTTACATTTCACGACATTATACAAAACTTTAGGCCCAATGGCCTAACCATGAAATATGCCTGCTTGCTTAATACCCTAATTGTAATATTTTACCATACTATACTCCAGTTGTTACATCAAAACTCACAAAGCCTTAAAACAATAAAATTTACCCACTGATCAAGTTTTTACCATTTTCATGAGGTGTTAAAAGTGCAAGAATGTGTGTTTCCCCCCCGACATTTACAAGTCAATGAAAATACCATTGCATGCCATCAAAACCCACATAAATCTACATTCTTGTTCAGTAAGGCCAAGCTTAAAAGCAAACGGTGCGCTTTATACGGAACAAGACATTTTAATCCTTAAATTTTACTGATCAACTGTAATAATAGTTTTGACCTTTTTTTTATAGTTTTTCAACACAAGAAGTTGCTGTTAAAAAAACACTTCCAATTTATTTGTCCATGGGGGTTAGAAATATTCCAGGAATCAGCCGAATGGTCCCTGGAATCGTAGAAAACAAAAGAAGAGAGGGAAGGGATTGGGAGAACGCCGGGGTCGAAAAGTGCATTTGGCCACCAATATGGCTGTTTCGTCGCTTTGTGTTAAACCATGTTTATAAATTGACTAGACTAACCCCGGTTTCTTTTTCCGACTTGTTGAGTCTTAGTGTGCTTCTGTGATTTTCGTCTTTTCATTTCATTTCACTATATTTTCTTCTCTCTTTATTTATCTGTTTTCTCTCTCTCTCTCTCTCCCTTTGCTTATTTAAAAACCTACCATTGGCTGTCTTCGATGTCCTAAGATCTCACACGTTGCCATCTTCTCTGCTTTCTTTCATACCCTGTTCCTTTTATCTACTCTCTTCAGGTTTCAAAGTTAGCCTTTTAGAATTTGATGTTATACGATTTAATGTGTTTCTTTATTTGGCTATATCTTGGTCTAAAGTTTTGGTTTTTCTGGTGAAATATGCAGAAGATAAACAAGAAGAAGCTAAGTTAAAAAAAGATGACTAACCAACAGAATGTGGTGGTTCTTGATGTGATATCGCATGGTGTTGGGAAGGTGTTGCCTCCCTCGTCTCTGACAGTGGCTAAGTCATTTTCACCTCAAGACCTTAAGATGCTGTTGATGAAGAAATTCGAAACTGAAAAAGGAGGGGCTAAAGTCAATGCCTGGTTGGATTCCATGAGAGCGTCTTCTCCGACCCGTATCAGGTCGACTACTGTTTCCTTGCCCGAAACCGATGACAGAAGCTCCTGGATTGTAGGTTCCGTTTCCCAGTCAATAATCCTTATTCCCCTTTGTTATTGTTACCGGTTAATGATGAATGACCTTTTTTTTTTCTTCTATGTATTAGGTACATCATCCCTCGGCTTTGAGCATGTTTGAGCAAATAGTAGCTGCATCAAGAGGGAAACAGATTGTAATGTTTCTTGATTATGACGGCACGCTCTCTCCGATCGTTGAAGACCCGGATCGAGCTTTCATGCCTAAAGAGGTTCATATCTTCATGTTCTCAACTAATGTTGCTTGCCAGCTATAAAACTCCTATTAATTCCTCGGTCGTCTCTAATCAGATGAGAGCAACCGTGAGAGACGTCGCCAGATATTTTCCGACGGCAATAGTGACCGGGAGGTGCAGAGACAAGGTACATTACACTGCCATTATCTTACGGTTCATATACTTGGTGTTCGATTAATACAAAGACGGACAATGTTGAATTGAATTGGTTTTTGATGATACAGGTCTACAGCTTTGTAAAATTAGCTGGACTTTATTATGCTGGTAGCCATGGTATGGACATCAAGGGACCATCTAAAAGTTGCAAATACAAGAAAGTAAGAGTATCAAATGTACTCGTGTAGTTTCACCTATTGTACTTTTTAGTTGCCCTTTTTTTCCTCACCAGTAAAAATCTTGCTTGGATGCTTCTGGTTTTCATTTCTACTGACAATTTGTGTGTGTTATTTAGGGTAACCAGGGAGTTCTTTTCCAGGCTGCCAGTGAATTCTTGCCCATGATTGAAGAGGTTTTTGTCTCCCACAATCTAGTGCATTTCAGAAGTTCAAAAAGAAACAATCCGTATTAAGGGGATTGATTTGTTTGCTTTTAAATTTCCAGGTTTACAGAGCTTTGGTAGAGAAAACAAAATCCATTGCAGGAACCAGAGTGGAAAACAACAAATTCTGTGTCTCCGTACACTTTCGCTGCGTGGATGAAAAGGTACACAAGCAAGCCATCTTGCGTCTTCAGTTACGATTAATTTTGTGGTGCCTACATTTATCTCACAGAGTTCTTGTCATTGGCCAGAGCTGGGTTGCACTAGCCGAACAAGTGAGGTCGGTGCTCAGCGAGTACCCCAAGCTTAAACTAACTCAAGGCAGGAAGGTATTAGAGATCCGACCCACCATCAAATGGGACAAAGGAAGAGCCCTTGAATTTTTATTGGAGGCACTAGGTTACGCCGATTCAAATGATGTTTTACCGGTTTATATCGGCGATGATCGATCCGATGAAGATGCATTTAAGGTCGAATTTAATTAAAAATAAATAACTATATGATGTATAATTGAGTTCTAAAATTTAACACATCATTTTTAATGAATCAGGTTTTACGTGAGAGAAGGCAAGGGTTTGGTATTCTTGTTTCCAAATTACCCAAAGAAACAAACGCTTCTTATTCTCTTCGGGAACCAGCTGAGGCAAGATTACTAATCCTACCTTGCAATTTTTTTTACATCAAATTTGAGCTAACTTCGATTATTTTACAGGTGAAGGAGTTCCTGAGGCGTTTGGTGGACTGGAAAAAATTCACACAGAGAGAGCTTAGATGTGCTTAGCTTTACGCATTGTATTTCAATCCCACCCTGCATATATGATTAAAGCCGTGGAGGGTGGAAGTAATGTATTTTCCTTGTTTTAGAGAGAACTCCCAATTGTAATTAGCTAACTACCATTATGTTCAAGAGGCTGTAATTTAGGCCCCCACCCCCCCAAAAAAATGGAAAATCTTTCAACTATTTCTCTCTCTTTATCCTTTTATTATTTGAATATAATCATTTGTTTGAGATATCCTCAGATATGTTGACCATAGAACTGAAAAAAAATATGGTATAACTTTAATGAGACAACCACGTGTTGACGAAGACACTTGCATCTGCCATGTAATTTTTGCCTGTCCATTTTCAACTGCTACACATATATAAATGAATACTATAAGGTTAATGCCAGCAGTTCACGTTCTTAAAATAATAATTGACCCTCCCATGCCAGGTTTGATCCGAAACAAACCAACATTCAGAATCTACACATCCATTGGTTGTTTTTCCCTGTTCAAGCAACATGCAAGTACAATACAAAAGGTTTAATTATAACCTTAAAAGCTGTATATGTTGCGGGAAATATTTTTTACAAGATTGTTTATTATGACTTCACCGATGTGAACTAGACACGTCATTAGTTTCTTAGTTCCAAGTGCTTAATTAGGACAATAATCCCTGCTTTCTTTAAGGGAAAATCCTACAGTTGGGGGCTTAATCCATGTGATTACTATATTAAACAAAGTTTGTTTAACTGATGAATTGGCATTAATTTTCCATTAAATATTGCAACTGTCAGTTTCATCTTTCACGCATATGATGATCTCTAGGCGAAAGAAAGAGAGTGGAAAGCAATGAAGCATATTAGTTGGAAGAAATAACAGCAAGCTCAAACTTATTACAGTTTGAACATTTGGAGTTTTCCTGAATAAGTTGATGCAATCCAAATATTTTTACTGCCAAGGAATTGTCTATATGTATCTTACTTGTGTGTTTTTTTCAACATAAACAGAATTTTTAATTTATCGAAGTTGTATCAACAAACGTCTTGTCAAATACAGACTGAATAAATACGGTCGTGACTATTGAAATAACATATAACAATGATTGCGTAGAGATAGCCTATAAACAAAACCATTAACAAGTGAAGCAATGACGTACAAAAACTGAACACACCAAAGGTTCCGAGCATCATGGAGGAGAGAAACTTGAAGAATAACCAAAATGACCAACGATAAAAGCGATCTCCCCTTAATAATAATCTCATCTGGCACCTTTAAGCGATAATCAACAGACCGTCTTAAACAAATGAACAGAGGAATCATGCATCTGGAAATCAACAACCATGTATTCAGGTAAAATAAAAAAAAATCAACAAGAAAACCAAATAAAAACCTATACCGAGAGTCCAAAAATATCAGTAGTCATGATAACCCTTACTAGAGAAAGAGCCAAAAGTATTATTATAGTAAATACAAGAATATCAGTAGTCATGATAGGATGGTGAACGGAGAAGACCACCACCGCTGTCATAGATGGAAAAAAAATTGAAAATTACCCAAGAATTTTTAACTACCGTAAAGAGTTTGTGAATTTGTGAGTGAGCGGTTAGTACTAAAATAAATTCAATACGTACATAACGTGCCGTATCTTACTTGTGTTGTGTTTATAGATTTACGGTTTATAATTGAGTAACCAAGCGAGGGAATTGTGTTTAGAATTACTGGATCGAAGGGCACATTGTTTTTTTCTATTTCAAATGGCTTATAATTAATGTATACAACTTGTTGATGTTTTGAACAAATTGCATCAATTGATGGCTCTCCTCTTTATCCATAGTAAGAAAATTATTGTAAGATGGGGAGTAGTATAAAGTCCGCCAATGCGATCTAGGACAAAACTGTACATTTTGCACTCACCTTGCAATAATTCTCACTTAACTGGGTTCTAAAGAATGGGAACCCTTTAATCATTGAATAAAAACACATATTGATGGGTAACCTCACCCCATACAAAACAAACCTCTGATAGCCCTCGTGAAAACACCAAAGAAGAAAAAGGGTTTGGCTTTTTGTTTGAATGTTACTAATTTTATCCAAGTTCCACTTGTCCATTATCTACCCTAGAATGGGATAGTTTCCACCATTACTCCAATACTAATCAAAAGCTCAATCATAGGTAAGAACACCAAAATAAAATAAAATAAAATAAAATATTTTAGAACAAGATTATCCCTACATTTGTAATTATTGAAAATAATATAGAGATCTTAACGGAAATGGATGTTTAAGTCGAATTATCACAAGGACCCCAACGGTTCTTATAGTACTACCAAATGATAATGGAGAATCGGCACCGTTGCAGGGCACAAAGGGGATGCATAAAATACTATTGTTGTATCTTCAAACACAGGTAGAAGCAGAGAACTTTTTCTTTTTAGAGCATAAAGACGGTTTAATTGGGTGATGGAGGTTATTAAAGATGTTTAAAACAATAAAGAAATGGGGGTATGAGATCTGTGCATGTTTAAGATAGTGGGGAGGGGATTGCTCTCTAAACTATTGGGCACTTGGATTTGAGAGAACCCACGTCAAAAGATTAAAAAAGACAGTTTAGATTTTTATAATGGGTCTAATTAATCGATGGTTATATTTCTGTGAAAGGTTAGGTGGTGAAAAGGATGGGCACTAGTAGGTGAAAAGGGGGAGGGGGGGTTCACGGTCGAAGAGGAGTTGGAATCCACTTCAAGTGCTTTCATTTTAACAAGACATGGATTTTTAATGGGGACATCCAGCAATTATTCTTTCAACACATGAAATCTCCCTCTCTGGTTCTTTCATACGTGTAAAGAAAGGTACCACTAGATTTGAACCCATCATAGGGTCTTTAAAATTCCAAAATAAAGTATATAGCAGAAGCTCCAATTATTGTAGGAAAAGAAACCACTTCCCTTCCACAAAACCAACTCACCCTCACTTATTATGATTAAACTATTGGGCCACTCAGATCATTTACAGGGGAGACTCTGGTGTTGTGTCTCACAACTAAAATACATTGTTAGATTTGGGTTTTTCGAGGGAATCCATTTTAATAATAACTAGTTGAATCCAATGCCCACCATTAAAAAACAAAGAGAGGAAACCCATATGAGTTGTGTGTTTGATGCATTAAAATATGCCTCTAGTTTTGAGATGTGATTGTTCCCTAGAAAATGGTCCTATAGCCCCCTGTACGATGTAGCATTTGTTTTTATTACGGGAGGAGATCATAATGGATTTCCTCACGAGATGATGGTCCCCGCCTAGAGGGCCGAGCAACGTAAGGGTGTGTGGTTTTCTGAATGCGAATAATGACCACGTTTCTCTTTGTACGGCCTGCCGTTCAATTTTGGGGACGAAGATGCTCTAACATTTGACATATATAATAGAATATAATTTGATTCCGGTCCAGATGATCTCGCGAGAGGGAGCAAATTTATAAGGTGTTTGTACATCAGGGTTGTTGCTTGGATTTTACGCATCATCATCATTACTCTAAAAAAGGATTGCTTCCCTCCCGACAGAAAACCAAAGGACGCCAATGCCCAATACATCTACTATTCTCCTGGTAAGCAAATGTAAACAGATATGAATTGGCAGTCTGGCACCAAGAAAACACAAGAACCCTAGAATTGTATAATTTATAAAACAAATAAAAAAACTATATAAAAAGGGAGAAGGCAAATGTAGATAGAAACGGGGATTTTAATCCGACAAATGCATTGGCGTCAAAACAGCGAAGAAGGGCAGCTGCTTCAGCAAATTAATCAATCTCTAACGTTTATCCAAAGAAGAAAATAACCAAAGCCGTAATATGTGAAGCTTTTGAATATTGTGTTAAAGCTCGGCTTTGTAAATGCATACTTAGCAATAATAATAAATAAGCGGGAAGTGAACTCCATATCAATTGAACATATAAACACACTAACCATGCACCATGCATTCCAATAATAGTGTATTCGGAACCTTATTTCATAAATTCAAATACCGGTAACTCAAAAAACCATACGGATGTAAATGAAAAGAGCCTTCGACAAATTATTCGTCAACCATTTGTATAATATTTTTATTAAGCTAAATAGATAAGTATAGACAATTTTTTTATGTTTACTTAATAAAGGAACGAAACTCGAACAAAGGTTTGTTCGGTTCATTTATGTTCACAAATAAGCTTATTTATAAAATCATTTACTTGGTTCTCATATTTTTTTATATTTTAAATATTGGTCAAGATATGTAATAAATCGAATATAAAGTAAATTTTTAAGTTCAAACTATAAAGTCTACGAAACTTAAGGACTAGAGGCATAATTTCATCAGTTTTCTTTAACTCCAAATAATCACACTTAAAAGAGAGTTTTGGCTGTGAAATATTATATGAATGTTAAACGAAAATATTTACGAACGTTAAATAATGAATATGAATACTTTTAAAATTAATAAATAAATACGAATATGATACTGAAAATTTAAAAAAACATTAACATTTTAAAAAATAAACAAACATAAACATAACTTTATTCACTCAAAGTTAATTTATTTGTAGCCAACATATAAGCGTGCTTTTGTTTTTAATTGTCAAAGTCGTGAGTATTTAGTTTCCCAATTAAAAATTTATTTTAATTTCTCCATTATCACCGCTGAAATCTTAATGCACGTATTCTTTTCAAAAATTTCGAGGCCCGAGGCCTTGAGGTAAATTTTTTTTTTTCAAAAGAAAAAAAAAAGAGTGCAAGACTCTTTTTTTTGGTCCAGTGGTGATGAATTTAGCTATTTAGGTAAACATTTTATTGTTTACATTATGGCCGTCCGGCCATGAACACTTGCAATACAGAATTCAGATGAGTTAATTGAATTTCTAGTATTATATAATAGACTTTTTACATCGATATACTTAAAACTTTATATTTTTGTAGATTGCTAGGGTTTCGATGGCGTTCAACTATCACTCCAATTTTAGGGGACGCCCTCCATATAATTTGATCTCTGGGGACCTGAATAATGTAGGTTCTTGGCTGCTTGGGTTGCTAGCTTGAATTTCTACAGTTTCTTCGGTGTTGGTATGGAGTGTTATCCGCTCCTCACTAGAAAGAGGGGGAGCGGTGAAAAGGCGGATGATGGAGGAGCAATTGGAGATGGAGACGCCTTGGTTGCATGCATGT